AAAATTATGGTTAACAACAATAATATGCAACACATGATAATTAAAAATCCTAGACTCAATGGCGCCTTTTATCAATTCAAACGTATATTGAAAAGAAATCAACTGATAAAATAAAATAAATACACAATGCCAGACTGGCAGAATTAAGGTCTCAACAGAATACAGCACAAGTTATGTGAGGGCCATTCTTGTAATATTTACTCCGTTTGAAACCACAGCTGTTTATTGAAAACAATGAATAATGAAAGGCAGGTGGGTATTTATCAAACTGATGAACAAAGGATTACCTTATTCACCCAGTGCCTTATTCATCTGCTTGTGTTCATGACAACGGAAAATAACAAATAATAGTCACTTGAATTTAATACTGTATTGAATAAATAATAATTTTTATTTTAAATATTATTATAACTATATTTATTTATTTTAAATTCAGCAAACTGCATTGCTAGGTGAACCACGGGTGGTGAACAAAATACCCACTAATCGGGTATGGAGGAGACTGTTTCAGTTGTTATGACTGAGAACAGGAACAGCAGTTACAGCACACAGATATGGCTGCCAGCTTTGAGTTCCCTCTGAATGAAAATAGGGCTGCCAGCCTAAATTCCCTCTGAATTGATACTATTCTCTCACAACTATGATTACTGCAAGTGAGCATAATGTATGAGTGGACAACTACACGGATAGAACTCACAATTTCCCTGATTCTGGGAAGAAATGCTAACCACCATGAGTAAACATACGAATGCCAGACGTTTTGGTCGTGGACGTTTCGGCACCGGATGTTTCGGCCAAGAGTTTTGACCAGGGCGAACATTTCAACCCGTGATTCTCTTCTGTGTAATAAACGGTCTTCAGTATTTGAAATTAGTGTTACAAGTAATGTTGCTGACATTAGTGAAGCCATACAGAAATATCTCCCAATCTGATCAAGTAAACAGTGGTGGTAACATATAAAAAAAAAAACGTTTTACCACTTTTATATTGTTATTATATACGTAATGGCATAAGAAGACATAATGATTTTCTTTCATTGTGAAATTCACACCCACCATTATATGTGCTGATATCAGTTATTTCATAACAATAAGTGTTAGCAGTATAGGTTTGTTTAATGATATTCGGTTTATTCTGGAGTGGAAAATAGTGATTTTTTGGCCAGTAGACGAAACACATTGAGAATTTAGATTTATGGGTATTTAGATATCAATTGTTTTTTTTTATTGTATATATTTACTTGGTTTAAATTTAAGTAAAAATTCAAGTACATGTATTTAAATGTCTTTTTTTTATACTAGAAAGTAATTAAACTATTTAATAAAAATTTTCAAAAATGCTACTAGAAATAGTTAATACATAGTCTATTAAGTGTCGGCATAGAGCTGTTTACAAAAATATTTAATATATAGTCTATTATGTTTCTGAGATCATCTTACCATTGAACTCTACTAAGGTCGAAACGTCCGCGACCGAAACGTACGTCCACCAAACACACACATCAGTTGCTTTAATTACAGTGGCAAGCAAAAACTCTGAACCTAGGCTTTTCTATGAAGTATGATTGTTATGAACAGTGTTTGGGACTTTCTTTCACAAAAATGTTATTGTTATGTTAATTTTTACCAAATGCAAATTTAAATGATAATCAATCATGTGAATTATCCACCCTGTTAAATTTATACTGAATAGGAGGGGAAGAGACAACACAGCAAACCTAAGAAGTGAATCAGTCAAATACAATATCCTCAAGCAGGAGTGGTATCGGTATATATATTTATATACACAGTGAAGCGAACAAATAGTGACAAATGTTTTGGTGACGGCACAAAACATGACAACTGAAGCCATTGTTGTAGGTAACATAATTAAAGTTCAATAATGACAAGTTAGTGAGCGACATTAAAAAAATAATGACAAAAGCTGGATTTCAATTCCTATGATGACGAAGACCTCACTTGAGTCTGAGATATAATCATATTGTTAAAGTATTAAATAGATTTGAGCTTAGAGGCATGTTTAAACGCACACCTTAACTGCAGGTGTTTGTCTTCGTGTGTGATGACATATCTTAGAGACAGGCAATTCATGGTCCACAGCACAGTTACATTATATTGTTATTGTACAGGGGTGTGTGGAAACCAAGATGTTATTTGATTATAAAGTAGAAAGGATTCATACATTGACATGTACAGGAACGCCAATGACAAAAGTGAGTTTTGCACTTTTAACAGTGAATAAAAGGATGGTGAAGTCACTTTGTATGTGAAACAGAAAGGTGTATTTTTACTGCTTTCTCAGCATTACAAAATAAACTTTTAAGACAGATGAATAATCTTTCCCCTTCCACCTTTGCTGTCTAACAGATTTGTAACAGTCTGCAACATACACACCTTAACATACGACTTATTTCTTTAAATGGAAAAAAAATCTCACTTGAAAAAGAACTGCCCTTTCTTGCAAACTGGTAATTACACAGATTGTTCATTCCCCATGAGAATTCATGACCTTGGAACAATTTCTAAAAGAATCACATCAAACCACAATAGAAAATATTGATTATTGTCAGTAAGTTTGGTAAAATAAAGTAATAAAGTGTTTTACTGCATCAGATCTTGATGAGGGCTCATTTTAATTAACACAACACCTGCTGATGTTGTTTTTTCTTATTTATTTTGGCTACCCATGGAGACACTCAGCAGGCAATATGTTATGTAGACTAATAAGCAGTTTTACTGTAATGTCAAAATCACAATAATGCCACGATCAATTTATAGGGACACTGAGATCTCTTATCTCACCAAATCATCATCCACCAAAAGCAAACACAATCAGCTGTGGACAAATAGATTACTAAGTAGTTAAAGCCAAACACACATTTACGACAGTAATCATAACCTTAAGAGTAAATTCTGGCTTTTATCTTGCCAGTAGCTAGGATTAGTCCCCTATCACAGGTCACTTGGTGATAACTATTGTCACAGAAAAGATTTACAAACACCGTCATGCCATAACTAAACTAAGTACAATAAAATAAATCAGCCTAAATCTGATGAAAGTAGAATACATTTGTTATGTACCATAGGGATTAAATCTCAATCTAGGTTTATAATATACAGTAATCCACTAGAAGTCTACTATTACAATCCAGACTATAGACAACTCATTTTGCATTCTTACAGCAAGACTTATCAAATTAAACCATCAACAGGTGGTGGTAGCCAAGCATAGGTTTAACCCCAGCTTGGCATATTTTCCACCAACTTGATTCGCATCAATGATTTTCACGCACTATCAAATCTTGTTAAAGCATCTTATAGTTCATAGGCCGCTGGGGCATTATGTTTATTTATTCATTCTGAAAGTCGTAGCTTGGAGGGTTGTCCAAGTAAACAAAACAACTAAACGGACATGCTACGACATCACTAATATAGCATACAAAGTACAGAGCCTGTGTATATCTGTCATCAACAATACTAAATTCAAGCATTGGGAAAACATGAAAAACTACTGCAAAATAAGAAATATTCACTGTAATTTAGCTGATTTTGATATTATAGCAGGGAATTCACTAGGATTTAAATTATATTTTTGATTATATTTTTAATGCGTTTAGCTATCAGCAAAATACATTGAAAATAAAACCCAGCTAAAAATAATTAATACAGAGCACATGCATGAAAAATCAAACTTACCGAATAAACAAAATTACTGGAAAATTCTGGCGATCCAACAAGAGCATCTGTTATCCTGGGAAAAGTCTGTACAAGACTGCCTGTAGGTTCAGTTCGAGGTCTATTTCTAAGAGTATATAACTGTCCTTGCATACGAGGCTGGTAGGAAGAATGTAATTGTATCCGGTGTCTACTGGTATGGTTATCAACATTCAATATTCCCAGACTTGGTTTGACTATCTTCCTATACAACCTCTCTGTTGGATGTACAGCTGAAATAAAATCAGTTCAATAAGAGTTATCAAAATTCCTATAAATAGATATACCAGTACATAGTTGGCATCAAAATAGTTATCTTTGAGGCATACTAAAACTCAATTTGATCTCATCGATTGAATTTGTTGACATTTTCAGTCTAACATACATTCAGATCAACCTTCTAGTGTTACCTTATATCGCAACTACCAGTAATTATGGACTTGTAGGGTGAGTGAGACCCACACTGAATGTATGACACCAATATTGAATAAGTATATTTCATGAATCAGTTGTGCTGACTTCAAGTATCCATTTGTTCAGTAAAATGATGTACATGTATTGATAGTTGGGTAGCCCTTACTCAAAATAGATATTTCGGACACTTTTTCTAATTCTAGGAAGAATTAGCATAGTGTACAATTTCCTTTGAATTATGAAGGTTGCTTCAATAAACTAAAATTACTCACATTTTTGATATTTCTCACTCGGAAATGTCTCATAGTAATAAACGTCTGGCATTAACTCCGAATGTTTTAGGAAGTATTTCATATTTCCTAACATTGGGAAAAGTCTCTCAAAAAAACGTCATGAGACGTTGCTAGCTGACCAAACAGTCAGACGGAAATGAGCAACAAGGGAAATGCAGATAGTGTACCTGTAGGTATGTGCGGCATATGGTAAGCATAAACCATTTCCAATTGTCGCCAATGTCATTAATTATTTCATAGGTCCTGAATTTTTTATTGCACTTTTAATCACAGACCCTTTTCATGATTGTGTTCTGGACAAACATTTAAAAAACTCACTGTCAACCGTAATTTCCTAATATGAATGTTGCAGTATTGCATTATAACAAAACAAGTTGTTTTTTTAAGTTACCCATAACTTCAGTCTTCCTGTGTTCGGCCAAATTAAAATACATTTTTTCAACTTAATTCATCAAAAGTTAAAACAAAACAGGTACAACTTTTGTAAACGATTTTTCTAGAAATTCCTGCAATTTTCTCATTTGTTTGGTGTTTGTGAAACACAATGCAAAATTAAAGCGATTTACAGTCACTAATCTTATCGGCATAACCTCAAGTGAAAATCTTTAAAATAAAAATAAAAATGTTCACAATTAATTTCATTCAAGTTTTTGTAAGAAATCAAGTATTAGAAATCTTTTGAAGTGCAGAACACCCAGTCGATCGAATCATTTCAGTAAAACATGAATTTTTTAAATAATTTATCATGTCAAATGTAGCTCGTAGTCAAGGGGGTTATTATTGATGTTTTTTTATACAGTGGTGTGAATTCTTTTGCACACAAAGCTGTATCTTGGTAACATCTAATCTAACGCTACAACGATTTTGCAGGTAAATTTGCTACGGGTGCATTTGCTGTTTGACTAAACAAGGACCTGCACCTCAAGTTTGTATGACTAGTTTTGAAAAGAATGTTGCGACTTTTGTGTTGGGTCGAAACGAAATATAGGTGACTACTGAGTTGTCAGTCACCTGATAAGATAATTCGGGTCACTGCTGTCAGTATTTGTGGGAAATATTTTAAGAAATCCTGTACTAAGTTTAGATATAAACTTAGTACAGATTTGTGAAACGCTAACAGAAATTGCTCAAACCGTAAACGATACCGAGGGAAACAACACGGAACTCATTGGCGAAGAAATTATTAGAAAACTTGCTCCATTCAAGCAAACTCAATGAATCGCAATTACTCAAAATTGGTGGATATATCAGAATGCAGTGGAAACGTGACGGTGAAATTATTCGTCATCGCCAGACAGCTTGCGAATTAAACACAGCGCGACCGACAGCACGATCGCCCGTGTCGTCGCCGCTGTCGCTTCGGATTTCCGGATCAAAACTTTAATTAAACATGAATAATTTCCAACCTACCCATTTTGAACGGCAAATATATATCTTTTCAAATCCTCGCAGGACCTCTCACAGTGTGTCGAAGACCTGCCATGTAAAGTGGCCGCTACATAACCTTAAATAAATTCTTGTATACAGGTATCAGTGGCAAAAGTTTTTCAAGTTGACGCCATGATGAACTGAATGGGCGCTTGTTTGTAAGATCACGTGACGACAACCTGTTGCCAACGTATGGACGCGCTCGTTTCTCCAGCAAATTTGTCACTATTCATCACCGAGGGCGCACTACAAAAAAAATACCTCGAAGGTATAGGGCGAAAAAGTGTTATAATTGATACACAGGGAGCCCAGAAACTATGATCAACTGATATCTAGTGTAAGAAATCTATTTCTTACACTAAATACCAGCCGATACCCCCCCGCTTATAGGGACTGTGTACAGTTGATCATAGTTCCTGGGCTCCCTGTGATTGATCAGATACTGTTTTTTACCCTCAATTATTTCAAAAATGAAACAACAACATATGCAATTTTTCGTTAACATTGTGTTAGCAATTTTTGACAAATATTAGGCTAAGTTTATCACATTATGGCACGTATAACACAAAAGAATGCTGTTCCAAGTTACCATGGAAATATAAATCAAATATTGTACAAAATAAACCAGTAAACATTGTCATGTGAATTCCAGTTTATATTTATCTTGTTTTTAGCAAATATATTCACAGCTTTGACTAATTGCAACCATAAAATCCTCCTGGGGTCATTATAAATATTTTATAAATACATATTTTTATAAACCAAAATGGAAGTTAGAATTTAAATTGACAAATCCACAATCTTAATGTGACATCATCAATACCCCGGTAGTTTAAATTAATATTAATGAGCATATTACCCAATCAGCAAGCCCCTCATTTTAAAGCGCGGTAGTTGGTATACAAAAATTTATGTAAGGTTATGTAGCGGCCACTTTACATGGCAGGTCTTCTACACACTGTGAGAGGTCCTGCGAGGATTTGAAAAGATAAATATTTGCCGTCAATAATGGGTAGGTTTGAAATCATTCAATGTGTTCAGGAGATTAAGTTACATTAGTTCCTGCTAACCTTTGAAAAAACTTTTTTGCAGATTGGTTCTTCTTTTTTAAGCTCTTTCATTCTGTGTTTTTTTTTTACTTTACATTACTTTACAGGATAATAAACTTTGAAAGAGTTTTGGAATTTGTACGTTCCTCTTAGTTCTGAAAATACACTCCATCAAATTTATAAGGCTCAACATTGATGTGTTTTTGAACTTGCGACAATAACAGAAGCTTATAAAACTGTCAAGTTCATTTCCATCTTTGTTACTTCTTCTTTCTCTACAATTAGCATTTATCAATGATTTTAATATTCATACATGTATTGTGAAAAAAGCATTTTAACACAATTTAGGTAATTTTTACATAAAAAGGATTTTACGTGGCCCAATCTCAGCTGCATTGCAAACAATGCCTCACAATAATATGAAACAATGGTCTTCCACGGATCATCTCAGTCTGTGCCAAACTTTGTTGAGATCCAATTGTTCTGATCAGACAAGATCAATGATATAGTCCCTGTAAAGTTTCTAGTGATGGCCAATTAAAAAAAAATAAAAGATGACAGATTATAATTAAATGTTGGAGGAGAATCCAGCATGTTAAAAATACCTTATTAATACTTTGTTCAAAGTGGCACCTAGAAATATGGAATTCTCATTTCATACAAAATAGTATAATCCACATATAAACCTGTTGAACATTTTGAATCGATGAAGACTTTTTAAATTTTTGTGATTTATTTGCCAGCTGAATCCAAAAATAGCTGAAGACAACATTCAACATACCAAACTTTGGCTAATTCTGAGAAAGAAGAGATAAAAATGCCTGCCAGGCGACCATTTTTGAATGAAATCGCAAAACTAAAGAACATGCATCAGAAACACACCACGAGTGATTGACAAGTATTAAAAAATTGCTGCCAGTTAGGTATATTTTAACAAAATCCAAAATAACTAAAACAGCATTAACTTGTGTCTTTGTGTCAAATTTAAGCCAATTCTGTAAATATATCTGAGAAACTGGCAAATACCCTAATCAAAAAGCCAAACTAAACAACATGCATTTGAGTGATGTTCATACTAAACTCAAATGAAATCAGCACTGGCATGCAGGAGAAACAGTTGATGACATGTTCAAATTTTGTTTTTTGATGTTTATTTGGGAGGAAAAAAAGCCACTAGCCTATTGGCTGAGATAGCTCTGCTGTTATTAACGCACATTGCAATTAAAGAACAGAAGATAGAAAATGAACAATATGTATAGTATTAATGCAATCAGACTTTTTATAACTGTTTATCAAAAATATTCATTAAAATTAGATAATTGAAGAACAAAATCATCACGAAATGAACAAATCTGAGAGAGGTCTACCTGTAGTACCTATGTAGTATATATAATATCAAAGCAATTAGACTTGCAGTTTTTATCAAGAAGTCGAAAATATCACTTTTTACCAAAAATAACAAAAATATTCACCAAAATTAGGGAATTAAAGATATCATCACAAAATGAACAAATCTGAGAGAGGTCCACATGTAGTACCTATATATGCAATATAAAAGCAATTAGACTTGCGGTTTTTAACAAGAAGTCGAAAATATCACTTTTTACCAAAAATATTCATCAAAATTAGAGAATTAAAAATATCATCACAAAATGAACAAATCTGAAAGAGGTCCACATGTAGTACTTACATATGTAATATTTAAGCAATCAGACTTGCGGCTTTTTACAAGAAGTCGAAAATATCACTTTTTACCAAAAATATTCATCAAAATTAGAGAATTGAAGATATCATCGCAAAATGAACAAATCTGAGAGAGGTTCACCCAAGGTACCTACATACCAAGTATCAAAGCATTCGGGCTAGTGGTTTTCAAGAAGAAGTCGAAAATAGCATTTTTGACCAAAAATATATTCGCTATAAATAAGACAATTGAGCTAAAAATAGATGTACATGTACTCAACCACGATTTCTCTTTGTATCAACTTTGAACAAAACTGGTTCAATCATGTCAGAGAAATGACGATGGCAGACACTTTGACGGATGGACGGCACCCATTAGTACCCATTTCGAACTCTGTCTAAGGGGGGAACTAATAAAGAATGTAGGGAGGGAGGGAGGGAGGCTATATACTATTTTACAGCCATGTGAATTCTTCTGTACACAAAGCTGTATCTTGGCAACATCTAATCTAACGCTACAATGATTTTTCAGATAAATGTTCTACATGCACAGTTTGACAAAACAAGGGGTAGCACCACAAGTTTGTACGAGTATTTTTGAAAGGAATGTCATGACTTTTGTGTCAGATTGAAACGAGAGACAGGGGACCAGTGAATTGTCAGTCACCTGATATTCTGAGTTTAATAGTATCAGCAACAACTGTAAAGAACAGACTATGTACAAAGCAGTGAAAGGTCGTTACAAATAGTGAACCTTGAAACAAGCAGCCTCTCGCTGAGATAACTCCGCTGTTAGCAATGCACATTTCAATTAAAGAACAGAAGATATCATTAGAAAATGAACAATATGCATAGTATAAATGCAATGGGACTTGCTGTTTTCAACAAGAACTAAAAAATATCATTTTTCACCATAAATGATAGTGGTTTTTAACAAGAAGAAAATATCACTTTTTACCAAAAATTACAAAAATATTCACCAAAATTTGATAATTAAAGATATCATTACAAAATGAACAAATCTGAGAGAGGTCCACATGTAGTACCTATATATGTAATAATATCAAAGCAATTGGACTTTTGGTTTTTAACAAGAAGTCGAAAATATCACTTTTTACCAAAAAATGACAAAAATATTCACCAAAATTAGAGAATTGACGATATTATTACAAAATGAACAAATTTGAGAGTGGTCCACATGTAGTACCTATATATGTAATATCAAAGCAATTGGACTTGCGGTTTTTAACAAGAAGTTGAAAATATCATTTTTTACGAAAAATTACAAAAATATTCACCAAAATTAGAGAATTAAAGATATCATT